CCGCTCACTGGGGATGTGCCCGCAACCAAGGTACATGCCCTTGACCGGAATTGAACCTGGGACCTTTCAGTCCACAGGCCGACACTCTATCCACTGAGCCAAACCGGTTAGAGCTGAAATGGAAACTTTTTAACTAAAAGTAGTTTATGGCAGGTTTTGTATTCATGTCCTAGGCTAGTATCTTACCTGACAAAAGTCAACTTTTTTAAAGAAGATTTTTTTATTGATTTTTACAGAGAGAAGAAGTGAGAAGGAGAGATAGATAGAGGCATCCATGAGAGGGGAAACATCTATGGCTCCCTCATGCATGTCCCCTAATGAGGATCAAGCCAGCAATAAGAATGTGCCCTGACCTGGAATCGAACTAGCAACTTCTTGGTGCATGGGTCTAAGCTCAACCACTGAGCAACACAGACTGGGCCAAAAGTCAATTTTTACCTTAACTGAGCCTGTCAATTGTCTTTTGCATCTATGAAAACATACCTTGGGCCCGGGCAGCATGGCTCAGTGGTTGAGTATCGATCCATGAACCAGGAGGTCAGGGTTGTGGGCAGGAACCCCAGTGTGGGGCGTGCAGGAGGCAGCCAATCAATGATTCTCATAATCGATGTTTCTATCTCTCTTCCCCTCTTCCTTCCTCTCTCTAATCAATAAAAATATATTTTTTAAAAAATCAAAAACCCATACCTTGGGAATATCAGGTAACTTCCCTTTATGAGGAACTCTCAGGGCAAAATGAATGTACCAGGGAGACTACAAATACTTTCATTATTTTTATCGTGTTAATTGTTAACTGTTAACTATCCTGTATCCACCTATATAAAAGATGTATCATTGCTCTAGCTGATCTGGCTCAGTGGATAGAGGGTTGGTGTGTGGACTGAAAGGTCCCAGTTCAATTCCGGTCAAGGGCACATGCCGGGGGTTGCGGGCTCAATTCCCTGTAGGGAGTGCATGAGGCAGCTGATTGATGATTCTCTTTCATCATTGATGTTTCTCTCTCTCCCTAACCCTTCTGCTCTGAAATTAATATATTTCAAAAAGATTTATTGCCCTAACTGGTCTGGCTCAGTGGATAGACCGTCAGCCTGCGGACTGAAGGGCCCCAGGTTCGATTCTGGTCAAGGGCATGTACCTTGGTTGCGGGCACATCCCCAGTATGGGGTGTGCAGGAGGCAGCTGATAGATGTTTCTCTCTCATCGATGTTTTAACTCTCTATTTCTCTCCCTTCCTCTCTGTAAAAAAATCAACAAAACATATTTTAAAAAGAGAAAAGATTTATCATTTTATATTTTTTATCCAATCCCAGAGGTTTCCCTGCTTCGAGAGGGGAAACATCTATAGGCTCCCTCATGCATGTCCCCTAATGAGGATCGAGCCAGCAACAAGGATGTGCCCTGACCTGGAATCTAACTAGCAACTTCTTGGTGCATGGGTCCAAGCTCAACCACTGAGTGACACAGACTGGGCCAAAAGTCAATTTTTACCTTAGCTTTCTCCCTCCTCCCTAATCTATCAGCAATAAATTTCCTATAACCCTCTTAAGTGTCCTCTTTTCATTGTAATGTATCAATTAAGATGCAAAATTACCATTCTCTGGTGTATTACCTCAATGCCTTAAGATTTTGCTTCCTGCCAATGGGCAAAGTTTGGCTCATATAAACTCACAAAAATTCTTCACATCTTTGAATATTTCTCAAGTTGACAGTGGTAAACAATATCTAAACCTGCTGGAAAATGGCCACACTAACTTCTTGAATACAATGTTGCCAAACACATTGAATTTGTTTTTATTTTATTTATTTATTTATTTTTTATTTTTAAATATAAAACCCATACCTTGGGAATATCAGGGTAACTTCCCTTTATCAGGACCTCTCAGGGCACAATGAATGTACCAGGGCAGGGACTACAAATACTCTCATTATTTTTATCGTGTTAATTGTTGACTGTTAACTATTTTGTATCCACCTATATAAAAGATTTATCATTGCCCTAGCTGATTTGGCTCAGTGCATAGAGGGTTGGTGCGTGGACTGAAAGGTCCCAGTTCAATTCTGGTCAAGGGCACATGCTGGGGGTGCGAGCTCGATCCCCTATAGGGAGTGCATGAGGCAGCTGATTGATGATTCTCTCTCATCGTTAATGTTTCTCTCTCTCTCTCTCCCTTCCTCTCTGAAATGAATATATTTAAAAAAGATTTATTGCCCTAACTGGTCTGGCTCAGTGGACAGAGCTCAGTGGTTTGCAACCACACAAACCCCCAAAATATCTGCAAAGCATAATCAAGCACCTGCAAAACGTGATATGTAATAAAGAATTAACACATAGCCCTAACCGGTTTGGCTCAGTGGACAGAGCGTCAGCCTGAGGACTGAAGGGTCCCAGGTTGGATTCCGGTCAAGGGCATGTACCTTGGTTGCAAGCACATCCCCAGTAGGGGTGTGCAGGAGGCAGCTGATCGATGTTTCTCTCTCATCTGATGTTTCTAACTCTCTATTTCTCTCTCTTCCTCTCTGTAAAAAATCAATAAAATATATTAAAAAATAAAGAATTAACATGTAAAATATAGAAGGTATTCAAAAGACACATTAGCCAAAAAATCCAGATTAAAAAAACGAGCTAAGGATAAAGAGACAATATTCCAAAAATTATGCACAAATGACCAACAGGAATATAAAAAATGTTTTTCCTCGCTAATCAAGGTGGAATCCATTAGGCTCCCTGCCACACTACCAACCAGAAATCCTCCCCTATGAGTCCAGTGCAGCAGGTATTGAGGCTGCACGGAGAGAAGCCGGCAGTGCAAGCAAAGGACAGGAACTACCTGGAAAACCGGAAAATCACCCAGTGCCCACGGTCCACCTGTGAGGACAGAGCCCACCTGGGAAAAGGGGCCTGGGGAAGTGCAAGGTTAAGTCCAGGTCACTGGTGAGAGTGAGGGTCTTACCCAGGGAGGATACAAGTTCAAAGTTCTCCAGCATCACATTCAGGTACAGCTGTCTCTGACCCTCATCAAGGAGGCTCCATTCCTTCTTGGAGAAGTACAGGGCAATGTCCTCCAAGGTCACGCCAATCTGTCAGAATGGAGACAACTGAAACTGTGGTAGGCATTTATACAGACATAATGCAGAGCAAAGACAATGGGCCAACCAGCGGAGAAATGGGCAGGACCCTGAAATGGGTGTCTCATCACTCCCGCTGCCCTGAAGCTGGCAATGGGTGAACCTATGGAGAATGTACCTTTACATCTTGCCCAGGAGGAGTTAGGACACCTATGACGAATATAAAGAATTATTTTATTCATTTTGGGCAGTCACAGACGGGGCCTCTATTTATTAAAAAATATATTTTATTGATTTTTTACAGAGTGGAAGAGAGAGGGATAGAGAGTTAGAAACATCCATGAGAGAGAAACATTGATCAGCTGACTCCTGCACACCGCCTACTGGGGATGTGCCCGCAACCAAGGTACATGCCCTTGACCAGAATCGAACCTGGGACCCTTCAGTCCACAGGCCGACCCTCTAGCCACTGAGCCAAACTGGTCAGGGCAGATGGGGCCTTTATACGTTGGAACCTACTCTCTGGGAAAAGGATGCAGGAATGATTTATCTAAAGGTTGCTGTGAAGCATCCATCTTATATAAAAACTGCTGTTTGAAATTTTAACCCTGTTATTTTGGTGTCTGTAAATGCCTGCTGGCTTAAATAATAAGGAAAATAAGACTACTCCCATTCTAGAGAGGCCATAAACCGTCCCCATAGGAAGTTATCAGTGCTGGCGCCAGGCAAAGCCTTTGGTTGAGGTCTCAAAGCCCCAGCACATAGGACTCTTTAAGGACTTGCACAGGGGACCAGAAAAACCCCATATGTGGGAGACAAAGAAGGTAAAAAGAACCCTGGCTGGTTTGGCTCAGTGGATTGAGCGTTGGCCTGCGGACTGAAAGGTCCCAGGTTCAATTCCGGTC